TCTTCAGTAAGACGCGTCTCGACAACAGATGGCAGTGTGTCTTCAGTAAGGCGCGTCTCGACAACAGAGCACAGTGTGTATTCAGTAAGACGCGTCTCGACAACAGATGGCAGTGTGTCTTCAGTAAGGCGCATCTCGACAACAGAGGGCAGTGTGTCTTCAGTTACTTATTAACAACTGTTCTATGTTTTTCTTTGTTGACTGTTACTTCTTTAAAACGGTTCATTGTTTGACACTAATTGTTACTTCTTAACGACTGATAATTGTTACTTATTAACAACAGTTTGATATTTTATCCTGTTATTTTCTGCTTCTCAACAACTGTTCAATCTTTTACATTGTTACTTATTAACAACTGTTCTGTTTTATACTGTTAATTGTTACTTCATAACAACTGTTTTATGTTTTACACCGTTATTTGTTACTTCTAAAAAATGTTCATTGTTTTATATTGTCAGTTGTTGCTTCTTAACAGCTGTCCATTGTTTTGCACTATAACATGTTACTCCTTAAGAATTGTTCAATGCTTTGCGTTTTTAATTGTTATTTAATAACATCTGTTCATTGTTTTACATTGTTAATTGTTACTTCTTAACAGGCATGGCCAGGTGGTTAGGGCGATCGACTCGCAAACTGAAAATCGCGGGTTCGAATCCCCGTCCCACCAAACATGCTTGACTTTTCAGCGTTATAACTAGCTTTCACTACTAAATAAGAACGGTTAGTGCAGAAAGCCCTCGTGTAGCTTTGCGCGAAATTCAAAAAACAAACCGACATACTTTTTAACAAATGCTCAATTTTTCATTCTGTTTATTGTTACCTATTAACAGCTAAGCATTGTTTAATATTGTTAATTTTTACCTCTTAACAACTGTTCTATGTTTTACATTAATTTTTTCTTCTTAAACTATTGTTTATCATTTTTACGTCTACGTTTAAAACACTGTTCCAAATTACTTGAAATGTTAATTTTTTTACTCTGTTTCGTCTCTGCTTGAGAAGTGACCGAAGCAATGTTTACTTTCTATACAAATTAGTACGTTCCTCTTGAAAAACGATTGTTTGTTTATAGAGGATACGCTTGTTATTCGGTTATTACATAAACATATTACTAGTAAAATGTTCAGGAAAAAGCATGGAATTCAAAGAAGCCTCTAGGACATTCAATGTGATAAAAAAAATGAAAAATGAAGACCAAAGCGAGTTCTTAAACTAATGATTCGGTTACAGATGCGCTGAAATTAAAAATAAAAAAGAAGTCGTTATGAATACCAAGATAATATTTCAACCAGTTCAGCACACCTGGCGGGCGAACTGTTGCTCTAAAGGTCAATTGTATCGTAGTCCAGCTGGTTTCGTCGTGAGAATATACAAGTAACCGAGTGGTAACATAAAATAAAGAACTCTAAATCATGCACACGCTTTGTTTATTATTTATTTAATTATAACTTACTCAAACAGAAACAGCGATGGAGAAAAATGTACAAAATGTTGACATCATCAACAACTCCCTCGGTGTAAGTATAGTTTCAGTTAGAACAGGTGTACGCCAACTCAATAACGTACAAAGACAAAAATTGTGTCGAGATTGACTTATAACTCTGGGCTGCTACTAATGGTGAAATTATTGATTGTGTTTCGAGAACTCTTGTTTCTGTAGTGTATTAAAACCAATATTATATAAACTATAACTTAACAACTTAAAACATACAATACTTATATTACACCTTTCTTAGACGTTAACACCTACGACATCCTTATATTTCCCTTTATACAGCACCTTTCTTAGACGTTAACACCTACAACATCCTTATATTTCCCTTTATATAGCACCTTTCTTAGACGTTAACACGTACAACATCCTTATATTTCCCTTTATATAGCACCTTTCTTAGACGTTAATACCTACAATATCCTTATATTTCCCTTTATACAGCACCTTTCTTAGACGTTACCACATACGACATCTTTATATTTCCCTTTATACAGCACCTTTCTTAGACGTTAACACCTACAACATCCTTATATTTCCCTTTATACAGCACCTTTCTTAGACGTTAACACCTACAACATCCTTATATTTCCCTTTATATAGCACCCTTCTTATACATTACCACCTACAACATCCTTATATTTCCCTTTATACAGCACCTTTCTTAGACGTTAACACCTACAACATCCTTATATTTCTCTTTACACAACACCTTTCTTATACATTACCACCTACAACATCCTTATATTTCCCTTTACACAACACCTTTCTTATACATTACCACCTACAACATCCTTATATTTCCCTTTATACAGCACCTTTCTTATACATTACCACCTACAACATCCTTATATTTCCCTTTACACAACACCTTTCTTAGACGTTAACACCTACAACATCCTTATATTTCCCTTTACACAACACCTTTCTTATACATTACCACCTACAGCATCCTCATAGAAATTGAGCAGATTACACATCCTACCACTAAATTTTGAATCTGTCATATGTGCTATTTTGTAGAAAACAGTTTGTCTGCATATTTCTACTGTTAGCTAACAAACGTACTCTGATCAATTCCTTTTATTTAACTACAATAGATGGCAGCACCAAAAGTTACTTTTGTAAGATGTTTGTTTGTTTGGAATTTCGCGCAAAGCTACACGAGAGCTATCTGCAATAGCCGTCCCTAATTTTGCAGTGATGGAAGGCAGTTAGTCATCACCACCCGCCGTCAACTCTTGGGCTAATATTTTACCGACGAAAAGTGGGATTGAATGTAACATCAGAACGCCCCCGCGGCTAAAAAGGCAAGCATGTTTGGTGAGACGGGGATTAGACCCCGCGACCCAAAGATTGCGAATCGAGCGCACTGCAAGGACTCGAGAAAAATAACAAAACTTTAGAACCAATAGTTCCAGTTCTTTCACGCCACCTTAAAACTTAATTAATCCATTTTCGTAGCCAATTATTTGATTATTTACTAGCAGAAACATCATCTTTGTTATCCTGAGATCCTGTGATTATTTGATTGTTAAGAAAATGGAAGTACCAAACTTTAAAGTGAATGAAACTGTCACCTTGATAATGGGAGCTGTAAGAAAACATTATATCTAGCAAGTCCTGGGAAACTGTTTCGAAATGACAGAACTTTTATGAATGAATTAACATTATACTAAACATCTTTCCATCATATTTCCTGTTAAACCGGGAGGGCGACGTCTCTTAACATCCACCCAGTAGAGAAACGTTTCAATAACTAAAATAATCCCAAACAAAGAGTTTGCAAGTGACATTTCCTCCAATATTACGTATTTTTATTTCAAAAATTGTTTTAATTGTAAATATCAAGTACATATCTTACCAAACACCCATAAAGATATTTTAGCCAAGAGTCTTGTTTCTTCCTCGGTATATTTCTGGGAATATTTGAGTGATGCCTTTTGACACAAGTATTTTGTATTTTCTTCAATCAAGTGCCTGAGCTGAATAATTCAGGAAGAGTTTTTAAATATAAATATGAAAGGGAGAAAATAGCAAGCTACTGCAGAAAGTCAGCTCCAGCTCTATACTCCAGAGCGCTTCAATTACAGCTTCAGAACCACACCATGGTGAACCTTAGAGTGACAACAAATATTCAGTTTCACATTTAATTCACTGCAAGTGTCAAGAACGGAGTCATTCGTTTTAAATCTCGATATAACAACTGGCTTTAGAACGGAAAAACTCAAATATTGGGCGTTCTAAAGTTCATTTGTAAAAGTACTTCCGGCCAGGTGATTAAATAACCCATTTGTCCTATAGTAAAAGTACTTCCGGCCAGGTGATTAAATAACCCATTTGTCCTATAGTAAAAGTACTTTCGGCCAAGTCATTAAATAACCCATTTGTCCTATAGTAAAAGTACTTCCGGCCAGGTGATTAAATAACCCATTTGTCCTATAGTAAAAGTACTTTCGGCCAAGTCATTAAATAACCCATTTGTCCTATAGTAAAGGTACTTTGGCCAAGTCATTAAATAATACATTTGTCCTATAGTAAAGGTACTTTGGCCAAGTCATTAAATAACCCATTTGTCCTATAGTAAAGGTACTTTGGCCAAGTAATTAAATAACCCATTTGTCCTATAGTAAAAGTACTTTCGGCCAAGTCATTAAATAACCCATTTGTCCTATAGTAAAAGTACTTTCGGCCAAGTCATTAAATAACCCATTTGTCCTATAGTAAAGGTACTTTGGCCAAGTTATTAAATAATACATTTGTCCTATAATAAAATAACTTCAAATTAGGTGATTAAATAGCCATTTGTTCTATACAAACAGTACTCTGGGTCAGTTGAACGACTTAAGTGTCCTAAGAACTTTAGTTATATACTTATATAGCCTTCTCTTTTTACCAGAACTATCTATCTGATATATTCGACTTTTATCTTCAGCCATAAATTTCAGTTTAGAACCTTTATTTTATAGAATTTCAAGTCATTATTTTGAACCAAAAACCCAAATCAAATAAGAAAAATCGCAAACCTATCGTATTGTCTCTAATTTCCCCTCTTTCCTTGTTCTGATATCTATGGTTATTAAAATGTTTGTTTTGAGGAGAAAGAGGGGTTATGAGATTTTATTTGGAGCCTTACGTTTAGTTTGAATCACATCTTACATTCAATAAAATTCATACTAAATATTGTGGGTCTACAAATCAAAACAGTATATTAATCACTGTGTCAGATTCTCAGATACTTTACCGTAAGTATACTTTTTAATTTTTTCATATAATCTGTGTTCTTTATTGATAAATTAATTTGTTTTTTCCACATAATGAAATGTTTGAAAAAGAATGTTAACACAACAACAAATTGCACTGCTAATTACGGAAGTGCGTAATAACGCAACAATGACTGGAGACGGCTTGAATGGGTAATGAAGAAAAACTTTAATATCATCATCAGGTACAAAACCTTGTCGAAACGTTGTACATTTGCTGTTATGTTAAACTTATATTAAAGTTTTTCTTCATTACCCATTCAAGCCGTCTCCAGCCATTATTAGTCTCAAAGTGGGTTCCTCGTCATCGAATTTGAAGTAATAACGTAACGTTGTGGCATTGTGGGTAAGATTGAGTCAAGGGATAATTGTGTCGTAAGAAATTTAAGCGGTATGTTATTTATTTAGTTACTCGTTTATTTATTTTGTTTTGTTGCTACTTTATTAAGCATATTATGATAGAAGTGAAACCACTACTGATTCAAAAGAAACTTTTATTGTTTGTTACTTGAAGCATTACTACTGGAGGAAATTTAAACCATTCGTTTGACGCCCGGTTACAAATATTACATAACTCATTAGGCCTAACCCGGCTTTTATATTGTTTAGTCTAGATTAACACATTAACAATAACAGTTAAGTTCAATAACGCTCCATAGTTATCTCGCAAATGATAAAAATTAAAACTTAAATAACTGCAACACTAAATTTTACAACTGATAGGCGATAAGCCTGTCAGTATGTTTAATAATAATATCTATTGCTTTATTTTTATCGAATATTTTTTGGGGATAGAATTTACGTTTTTTTTTTTTGTTCGGAAATTACTTAGCACTACCAATAATATCATCTTTTGTAACTTTTTTAAGCCTAACACAGTAGAAATTAATGTACTAGACATTGGATAATGGTTTTTGCACTTAATGACAGCCAATATTAATAATAATATTCTGCTGTTAGTGTTACTATATGATTATTGTGCTATTGTAAGTTGTAGAAATGTTCCAAAAAACTATTTAGAGTGGAAAGAAAACTGCTTATTACTGACATAACATTAACACTAACAGCCAACAACAGACTTTTGGTCATTGACGGATTTCTTTGCACTACACGCAAGACAAAAGATTAAAAGTAAAAATCTAAAGCCACCATTTATATTTCAAGAGATCATTGATTCCCCTCAAACTCTTGTAAATATGTTGGTAAGGCATTCATAAAGTCTATTGTCTTGTGAGAAAAATAAAACTTTTGTGTGGAGCCTAGCCTTTCTTTTCCAAGTTTTAAATTAATGTCTTTTAAACTTTTGAACCCCTGGATAATCTTGTAAACTTTAGTATAATCACTCTTACCTATTTTTCATCACAAAAAATAAGATTTTAACCTACTCTTTAGAGACAACCCATCTGTGAACCCTTTCCAGAAAGTTGTTAGACTTTCTTAGATAAGGAGCAAGACTGTACACAGTATTCTTAGTGAAGACTAACTAGTGATTTGTGTAGAGTTATAAACAATAAAAACATCATAAACGTTTATTAGCTTTACCATTAACTGATGACTTATCTGCCACCATGCCAAGACCAGTTTCTTTTTATATTAAGTGTGTGATCCAAATGCAATTAAAATTAAAGGCCATTTGCCATTCATTATTGTAATGATATTAACTGAGATATTAACTGATTATTATACTGCCATGTTCGTTATTAGAATTATATTAACTGATTATTATACTACCTTGTTCATTATTAGAATGATATTAACTGATTATTGTACTACCATGTTCATCATTAGACCATTGGCTTTTTTTGTTCATTCCATTAACTTTTAGATGCAAAGTTAAACATATTTTAACACTTGACAAAAAAGTTTGATTTGTGAGTGAATATAGATTTATTGTATTTATTATGTTTTTGATGTATTGTCTCACAGAAGTGTTTAAACATCTTTGTACTAAATAAGGAACGAATAGTTTCCAGTATTGGACCATGAGTATTCAGTGGACTCTAGTAGCTGGGTTTCTATATGCTGAGATAGCATTTCTTATTCTGTTGCTACTTCCTTTAATTTCACCAACAAGGTGAGATAGCTATCATAGAATGTTCAAAAACTAGTAACAGAGAAAGATGAATTAAGATATTGAAGATGTAAACAGTGTAACATTTGTTTGAAATAAAACTGTTATCTTCATTAAAAACTTTTATTAAAGCTTTCTGTTTCAAAATATTTTATTCTCTCATTCTTGGCATTTTCATGTTTTTTATGTGGAAATTGTAATATAAGGTTCATTTCAAAATCTAACTTGTATCTCTGTGTTTTAAACAAGTATATCCATTCACTAATAATTATATTATCAGAGCATAAGCAGTTGTCTTTGTCAAGTGAAGTTGCTAGTATTTTATGGTTTACAACAGAAAAGTTTTATTGGTAACTAGCTTAGGATCAAATACTGTAGCCTACAAAGACCTGGTTTTTTTAGTTTGATTTGAGATGAAAGTATTCAGCTGTAGGTAGTAGATACTTGTTATAATGTTACCTTTTAAAATCATTAAGTTATGGAGTAGCATTAATTAGCATATAGTGATGTGTCAACAGCATCGGTGTAGAGGCTGAAAGCGGGAGATAAATCAAAAATTTAAAGATGTTAATTTTCTATCATCCCATGTTATACATCGTAATTACAAGTGCCATTTGAATGCGGATGTTAAACTTACAAATTTATAAATATTTATGATGCCGTATTAAAATATAAACTTTCTTCTTGTAGATGGAGGCAGGTCTTCAAGTCGAGATTATGCCAAGCTGTAAAAAACCAGTCACATGTGTACTTTACTGTATGTATTATTGGACTTGTACTTCTCTTCCTGGGTAAGATTATATTATTTACTCAAATATGATTCCAGCAATTTTTAATATAAGTACAGTAGAATAGGTGCAGAATCTACAACTAACTGTCTGTATAGAGAACCAAGGAAATATCTACTTGTTTAAGGTAGTCCTCAAAATTTGAGCATAAAGTCCATGGCAAAAACAAATGCCACCATAAGTACATTAATTAGAACAATGCTGGACTATGTCCTTGTATATAGTAATCGACATAAAGACATGATTTGGGTGTAAGGCAAATATTAAAAAATAAAAACTTACAATAGGTCTTTGTTCTAATTAAAATTCTTTGGAAAATCATGAAATGAGTACTAGCTTTCTAGTTTACTACAGGCATCAGTTACGTTTCATTCTACTTGTAATTGAAATCCTCCAGCAGGTCAAAATCAAGACGAACTTGTATTGTTTAATAGTCCTAACAATTTTATCTTCAAACAGTGATATTCCTCTTTCTGGACTTTTCTCTTTGCTATTTCTGAAGTAGAAACTAAAATATGTCAAATTATTGTAAATTTTAAGTAATGAATTTCATTGTCCTTTCTGATATTAAAAAATGCAATTTGCTCACAGGTTTTGACTTACATTTTGATTAAAATAAATGATTTATTAGTGAAACTAATAAAGTTAAAAGTTACTAGCCAGAGAATTATCATATTTTGTAGTATATAGTTTCTCTGTGAAAGAAAGGCAGCACCTTACAGAATCATTTGGAAATATCTGGATAGTTAGACCTATATGTTCAAAAGTAAAATATAAATTTTGACATTTTTTCTTGATCCACTAAATTCAATCATAATTTAAATGTAAGAATTGTGATGTAATTATATCATTGCATATTTATCAGTAGTTTTATTTTTGTATAAAATATTATTATTTCATGTTATCCACATAGGCGTACGAGGCCGGGGGTGACAGCCCCCTCTAGCTTGCAATACATACGGCCATTTGTGGAAATTTTCACTTTTCATTTAGGCAAAATTAGAAGGAGAATGTGTGGTGACTTGGGTAATTTTAACAATATGTGGTGACTTGGGTAATTTTAACAATATGTGGGTGACTTGGGTAATTTTAACAATATTTGGTGACTTGGGTAATTTTAACTAGGAGAATATTTGGTGACTTGGGTAATTTTAACTAGGAGAATATTTGGTGACTTGGGTAATTTTAACTAGGAGAATGTTTGGTGACTTGGGTAATTTTAACAATATGTGGTGACTTGGGTAATTTTAACAATATGTGGTGACTTGGGTAATTTTAACAATATGTGGTGACTTGGGTAATTTTAACAATATTTGGTGACTTGGGTAATTTTAACTAGGAGAA